CAAAAATAAAATGTTAGATAAGCCTGATATCTATGAAGAAAGTTGTAGAGGTCATGACAAAGATTTTGGACTTATAAAGAACGCCGAAATCCAAGTTATAACGAAGAAGTTATGACCTGTCGAAGTTTCGCAGCAGAACCGGCACGACACTGCGTGATGTAAAAAGTGAGTTTACGATAAAGTGCTTTTTAGCCTTACCGATCTAAATGAAAGTCGTAGTACATGTTAAACCAAGAGCGTGCATAAAAAGAACGTCAAAATCTGACTTCTATGAGGAAGTTATGAATTTTCTAAGATTTGATATAGCTGTGTGCAGCCCGAAATTCGAATTATAGATCGAGCGATTTTTAGCCGACCCGACCTAAACGATAATCGAAGATCTCGTCAATAGTAGTTCAACGGTAAAAAGACAGACAAAAACGGACGTCGTATGAAGAAGTTATGAATTTTTAACGGACTTTTCCTGTCCCAGCCTGTTAAAAATATAACTTTAAAAATAAAGTCAAAATTAGCCGACGAAGTCTAAACGAAAGGTTATCCGAAGGGAACGCCTCGCGTAGGGGGGAACGCCCCGTGTTATCGCAAGCACTTGGTCTCGGATCGGCCACGATGACCCAACGGACTTCGGACATCTGTCATATGAACGCGTAACGTAGGCCGAAGCACCCTGCGTCCGAGGAACGCGCTGCGTACCCTCGCAGGAACGCCCCACGTAGCCAACAACTCTCGGCCTATAAAAGGGTGCGAGGGCCAGCCATATTTTTCACTTCTTCAACACTTCTTTCTCACTCTACTCTCTCTCTAGCCACCCTAACCACCCTCGAAGTCTAGGGAACCTCCCTAGCACTAGAAGAAAGCCCCGAAGCACCCGAAGGCCCCGAGAAAAAGAGTTTTTCGGTTTAGAAACTCTGCCCCCGCAGAGCCCGGTTTTTAAGCAAACCTCCCGGTTTCATCAAACAAGATTATTTTAAGAAGCGAAGTGTTGTCCGAATCACCACCTTATCAAGTACGTGTATAGTCACTTTCATCTTACACATAGATATGAAGTATTTTATATAAATTACGTGCTATGTGTGTATATTATCTGTTTACCTGAGATCTATGCTGGATGAAAGATCTAAACCTCTTTTTTTCAGATTTGAACCTTTCTTTCAGATCTAAACTTTTTCTTTCAGATCTGAACATTTTCCTTCAGATCTAAACTGTATATATATATATATATATATATATATATATATATATATATATATATATATAATACTTTGAGATCTATGATGTATGAAAGATTTAAACTTCGTTTTTCAGATCTGAAATGTATATGTATTTTGTATCTACAAATATGTTGGGTAAAACATTGGTAGATGAAATAGTTGGTGTGTGATGAAATAAAATGATGAGAGGCCTCGGTGTTGTCGATGATCCAATCATCTAACGGAGTATGGATAACGACCACAGAATTTTCTAGGAAGTCCCGTGGAACGATAGCAGGCTCGCAACCTGTAGGTGTTTATTTGAACTAAGTGTTCACCAGGTGTACTCCATCCCCCTCGTGGTTGCCTTATTTGACATAAATTGCTGAGGTATCCCCTAAGCAATGTTATTACCCCGATGATAATCCTTAGGCTAGGTCCCTTTTATTAGATGTTTTAGGGACGTAAAGTGAGGATAACGGAAACGGGTAATTGGGTCTGTTTGGTTTGATGAAATTAATAAACTTATTTATTGTGGGTTGAAAACCCTATATGCTCACCAGGCTCCCAAGCCTGACCCACTCAGTTTCTTGTATTAAAGGTAGTGGCAAGAGCATAGTTGGATGATCTGACGAGAGATTATGGATTTATAGGTCAGTAGAAAATATATAGAATGTTGTAAAGGCCTATATTGTATTCAAAGGCCATTTTGTTTTGTGGCCTATGATGTTTTGTTTATGCTTTTGATATGTATTGATGATGACATCCAAAGTTTTGTAATATAATGAAAATACATTTCTTTAAGAAATACTTTGATAAATTTTTATCATATTTTGTTTTGGGAACAAATTCCGCAACACTTTTCTTTGAAAGATTACTCTGATTTTATTATAAAAGCATAAACGAAATCAGTTTTTTTCCGTGAAAATGGGGATGTCACACTATAAATATATGTTTTGTATTATTTTTATATACTAATATATACCGGGGTCGGGTCCAGGGTCGGAGATTAGAAGTATCCCCATTTTTTTATTCGAGGATTCTCCATCCTTGTCCCCATCCCGGGTCAACTTGGAGATTCCCTAGTCAAAACAGGTGCGGGTTTCAGGTTCCCCATCGGGTATGGGGTTTTTTGTCATGCGTACCTAGTGATATTTTAGTAGGAGTTCGAGTGTTTCTTTACTTGGTTAACATTATTCTTTTATCTTGTTCTTTTTGTTTATAATACACACTTGTTAGCCAAGGATTTTGATCACCAACATCTTTTCTACATCTTGATCAACATTTGAGTTTTCAAGTTTTTTTTTAAAGGAGTTTGATTTGAGAGTCATTTGTCGCTTCTTTAAAGACACTTGAATTTGGTAGAATTTCCTTGTTCGAAGACCACTAAAAAGATGATTCATCAAACAACACGTTTCGAGAAGTGTAGAATTTCCCGATTGTTAGATCTCAACATCACCAACTTTTTCTTTGTTCATCCTACCCTACAAAGATACACATGATAGACTTTTTTTCAATTTTGATGGCAACTGATCAAGAACAAACACATAAAATACGCACACAAATACTCGATTCCATATTTTTTTCAAACAGTGAAAGAGAAAATAACATTTGTTAAGGAATCATGTTGATGATAAATGTTGCAGTTTTCATTGCTTCTACCTAAAATCGTCGAGGGGCATTTTTTTTTTCATGAAGCATACTTTGATATATTTCTGCCAAGTGTCTGTTCTTCCTTTCCAACACTTCATTTTGTTATGAAGTGATAGCACACGTGGATTGGTGGCTTATTTTTTTTCTTCTTGAAGAAAGTCCAGGAAATCATTTGAAGTGTATTCTCTGCCATTTTTGGTACGTAAACATCGAACTCTTTTGCCAATATATATGATTATGAGCGTGTTCGGCACGTAGCGTTTAGGAGCGTTTGAGAGCTTCTAGCGTTTGACAAAATGCTCCATTTTGAACAGAAAGTCTTGTTTGGCACTGCAAGCTTCTAGCGTTTAGTTTAAACAAAACGCTTCAAATCCAAAAGCTACTTCATGTAGCGTTTAACAAAACGCTACAAGCTACAAGCTACTCACTACCAGCTAGTTTTGCCGAACACGTCCTATGCTAACTTCATGAACTCTTTTAATTTTGAAAGAGTTTTAGATTTATTTCCCATAAAATAAACCCACAAATCCATTGAAAAGACATCAATGAAGGCCATTATGAACTTTAAACCTCTAAAAGAATGTTGCTTGATTACTCTTCGTATGGCAACTGATGTGCTTTTCGATATTGACAACTTGAACATAATGTGTGCCTTCTTACATCTAGTTATGGAAGTTCCTTCAACATCAATTTCATCAACATGTTATATGTTGGAATAGTTGACATGACTCAGTCGCATGTGACATGACTCAGTCGCATGTGACATAACTCTGTCTTCTTGTTTTGTCCACATATGTAATTTATGCTGACATCACGTAGACCGTTTCCATCATATGTCCGTCATCATCGTGTTACCATTAACCTTAATTTCTTGGTAAAATTTCACATCTTGTGGACCAAACATATATTTGGCTAGGTGTCACTTTCTTCTGTAGTTGTAGTTAGGGGTGTTCAAAAATATCCGCATCCGAAATTCAAATCCGAACTTCCGCAATTCTGAATCCGAATTAATCGAAAAATCGGATATCTGGAATTTCAGATATCCGATTTTTCGGATTCGGATATGGATAATGTTTTTCAAAATTTTCGGATATTTGATATCTGAAAAATATAATTATAAAATTCAATTTTTTTTTTTGGAAATAACCACTTTTACTCTTTTACCCTTTAGTTGTAGTTTAAGGTTGCACACATGCGGCGTTTTTCTTTTCCTCCCAATTCACATTTAGTACAACGTTTAGATTTGGATAACCCTTTGTGATTCAGTACGTAACTATGAATTTATACTTTATAGAGGTAATAAAAAACAATTGATACTGATTACTACACGTCTACATATTAATTTGAAGCATATGCATATAATCAGTAAATAAATAGCTTGATGCATATGTATAAAAGCTTTCACGAAATACAAGGTCGTAAATAGTTGGAAACAAACCTCATTATATAACATAAAACCTTATGTTTTATCTTCAATTACACTATCAAATGTTGCTTTTTGATGTTTAAGGAATACTTGATACAATTTGATTGTTTTTATTCTAAAAGTATATCACCAGTGTGTGGCTATGTGCTTTAATCACATGCATTTAATGATGTTACAAATTGTAATTTGTTTTATAATTGTCGATGGATATTATTTGTTTGTGGATTATTAATTGATAGATGAAAGTTTACAATTTGAAACGTTCAAATTTTGGATATCCGATTTTGGTATCCGAATTTTCGGATACAGACTCGGATACCAAAAAATCGGTTTTTAAATATTTTTTTAATATTTTTTAATTACGGACAAAATAGTCGTTCAAATTTTATAATGTCGTGCGAATTTATAATGTTTACTGAATTTTAAAATGTCATCCGAATTTAATAGTAATAATATTAAAATATAAAATAAAAGGAAAAAAAATCCAAAACAAAATGGAAAAAAAAATAATATCAAATCAAAAATAAAAAGTTGATTTGATTGATGTTAGGAGGTAAAATTAGTTAGGGGTACTTATAGCACAAACCATTAGTGATCATTCTAAGAAAAGCATAACCATGGTTATAAGTTGTAACATTAGCAACTCCAAAAGAGTTGGGAAAGATAACCTAACAACCCATGTGATATTCGGTTCGGGTCAAAGATCCAGATTGGAAAATCACCAAATTCTCAAATTTATCTCCAATCCCACATGTTGGTTTCTTTGAGCAAAAGAAAACACCGACGATACAGAGGAAGGGTTTTATATTAAAATCTTCTACCCGGAGGCTTCATCTCGCAACTCATTGTCGTCGGAGTCAGTCGAAGATGGCGGCTCTTCAGTATCTTGATTCTCTTCGTAGTAGTCATCCGGAGCTATCGGATTGGTACAATACGCTTGCCGATCTGTACCAAAGGAAGCTATGGCATCAACTCACTCTGAAGCTTGAACAGTTCGTTGCTCTTGCCGTTTTCCAGGTCTCTTTCGCTTACGTTCATATGATATTTTATGCAATTTGGTTTTACTGTGAAATGGAACTTGTTTCCTCTTGTTTTAAGAAGTCTAGGGTTTCGCTTTGATTTGATTTTTATGGATGTTTGAAAATTGTATCTCTTATTATTCAAATCAAGGGTCTGGATGAAAGTTATGTGCCTGGTTAGGCTAATATGAAGTAGGATTTTCACGTTAAAATAGCTATAATTCTGCAGGTTAAAGAAATAAACTGATAACTACATCAATGTTCACAAAATAAAATACTTATAGAAGAATGGATCTTGAAAAATCCATACTCAGATACTCTTCTTAACTTGAAGAGTACAGGTTTGACAAAGAAAATTAGAGGACCCACTTTTTGGTTCTTGAAGCAGTATTTGTTTTTTTGCATAAGATATTAGTTTGATGGCAAAAATTGAAAATAGTCCTTTATTGAGAACCTACTCTTTTCAATTAGGTAACTGAATAAAATAAGTGATTGCATATTTTGGTAACTAAAAGAAGGCTAACAATTTGAGGCATTGATGAATTAGAAACAATCTATCTTTGAAAATGAAATTGAATGAGTAGTAGCAGCTCATGTGTAGTTCAATATCTTAACTGTTTTAGATTATAAGAACAGTACCCATGTCCCATTAGAATAAATAAACAATATATTTTTCCTTGCAATTATACACATTTAATTCCTACCATAATCTTTATTTCAGGCTGGTGATGCTCTCATACAACTATATAACAATTTCATAACCGACTTTGAGACCAAGATCAACCTCCTCAAACTAGCACACTTTGCAGTCATAGTCTCCAGGCAATACTCAGAAAAAGAAGCTGCCATCAGTTACCTTGATGGGGTCATTGAGAAGCTCAGAGCCACAAAAGAGACACGTATAGAGGAGCCAGTTCTTTACATCAAAATGCAAATAGCCGTTTTTAATCTTGAAAAAGGTGATCAAAAGGAGTGCAAGAACCTTCTAGAAGATGGAAAGAGCACTCTTGATAGCATGACTGACATTGATCCATCAGTATACGCCAATTATTACTGGATGTCATCTCAGTACCATAAAACCCGCCAAGAGTTTGCTGAGTTTTACAAAAGTGCCCTTCTTTATTTAGCATACACCTCAGTAGAGTCTCTTTCAGACTCTTTTAAGCTGGTATGCAGTTATCATAATTTCAAAATGTTGTATCTTTCTTTAAGATTTGTAAATATTTTATTTTATATTTTAGGATCTTGCATTTGATCTATCGCTATCTGCATTGCTGGGAGAGAACGTGTACAATTTTGGGGAGCTGCTTGCACATCCAATTGTAAGTATTTTGATGTTGTTTTCTTGTAAATTGATATGGGACATAATTTGAACGTTTTTTGTGCAGATAAAGAGTCTGATAGGGACAAAGGTTGAATGGCTGTACTACATTCTAGAAGCATTTAACTCTGGAGATTTAGTGAAATATCAAGAGTTATGTCGTGTTCATAGAGCTGCTCTTAGTGGTCAGCCTGCTTTGGTGGAGAATGAAAAGAAACTTCTGGAAAAGATTAACATTCTCTGCTTGATGGAAATTATCTTCAGGTTTTCTCTTCATTTGATAATCTTTCAAAAGACAGAAGAGTTTTTGAGTTTGATTTTTTATATGTAATTTTGTTTGGTTGTAGTCGACCATCGGAAGAGAGAACTATTCCACTGAGCATCATTGCTGAGCGGACAAAACTTACAGTTGAAGATGTGGAATATCTTCTGATGAAGAGTCTATCTGTAAGTCCATTTGTATAAAAACTATTATTATTATTAATATTAATAAATAATAATGTCATATATGTTGTTGATTGCATTTGTAGGTTCATCTGATTGAGGGTATAATCGACCAAGTTGATGGGACAGTTTACGTATCGTGGGTGCAGCCAAGGGTTCTGGGAATTGCTCAGATTAAGTCGTTGCGTGATCGTCTGGATGGATGGGTTGGGAAAGTACACACCGCGTTGCTATCTGTGGAAGCTGAGACTCCCGATCTAGTTGCCTCTTAGTCTTGTTCATGTCTGTAACAATCTCTTGAAAAAAACTAAAGAAGAGCAGTGTCAAGAGATTAATGTTGAGCTGACTTGTTTTGCACCACTGTGTAATTTGGCATCTGTTTTCAGGCGCCTCTTCTCTTCTCTTGTGTACCTTACCTTTTTTTTCTTAGAGTTCTTGATTTATGGGTGGATTGGAGTTCTTTTTGGAGATTTTAATATACACAACTGTTGTTTTTCTTTCAGAGAATCATATTTTCATTTCTTACTTTTGTTCCTTTTATGATTAGTTATATAATGTTTTCTTGCAAATGATTACAGAATTAAATTCCATTAGAATTTTAAAGAATGTAACATACAATCCAAGTCAATTTCCTTGAATAAAATCATGAATATAATTCCAATCCCTCCTCATTTGTATAGATGATCGAAATATTCCTTTTAAATACTATCAATGAGAACAGTTTCCTTATAGTCCATCAGATGCTTGACTGTCTACACCTTACACTCATTAGTCATTCTTATGGGACTTGTGCATTGTTACTTCATAACTTTGTTTCTTTTTATTATTGATTTTGAAATTTATTGCTTAATATTTGTTTCATAATCTATTGCTGCGTGCCTATATATTTTGTGTTTAATAATACATATAATGTTTCTTCTTATCTAAACTTATTCTGTAAATGATCTCAAAAATAATGGGAAGCGTATACAAAAGAGTTCCATACTTGCATGGAATCAAATATACGGGAATTTTATAATGTCTTAATTTACATCCCAGAGTCTTTTGATAGCTATATCACCAAACAAAAAATATACTGTATATAATTAAATTCAATTCCATGTCAACGAAACATATTCCAGTTCCTTCCAAACATTACACACACTGAACACCTAGAACAGCTTAGGGTGACACAAATAACATGTTGCTGTTCCTATGATTTGAAATTTGAAGGTTCACATCACATACAGGTTCAACCAAAGAGCATGGTCATATTTAGCTCGTGAATGGAATAAAAACTCTATTGACCAGGGACATCAGATGTATGACCTGACTTCTAATACATGTAATTACGATAACATTCAAGCCACTACTTTAATATCATGCATAAGAAAGGTGATTCAGCCAAAACCATCAAACCAAAAAACACAAATAAATTTTTATATGTGAAAATATCACTACAAGGATACAAAAAACTTTTACTAGAAGAAATAGAGATCTACATGTGTATTATTTATAGATATCTAAAGTCTTGGTTGAACTTGTGTTTCTGTAATGGATGATTTCATTCATAAGATGGAGTCAAACATTCATCAACCATATCAACCAGATTCGGATTTTCCAGTGCAGCAGCAACCCGTTCCTTATCATTCAATTGCTTGTTCACTGCACAACACAACAAGAGAATTAAGTAATTAAGTATGTATGTGCATATACAGATTCAGAAGAGAATTAAGACCTGCATCTTCAGTCGCATGAGTCCCAGGAGCCACCTTGATGTCAACCTAATTAAGTGAGAGTAGAGTCACCAACATATTTCAATATAACATAATGGACCAAAAAACTTTCTTCAAAAAGATTGAATCTGCAACTGAAGTATAAATATATACCTACCTTGAAACGGGAAGGAAGGCTGCGCATAAGTTTAACACGTAAACAAAGGCCAATCACAGTTGCCATACTACAATGCTCAACTGTTGGTGTAAAAGTGACACTGATAACAAGTAGTAATTATGTCACACTCACAGAGAGAAAAAACTGCCATAAAACTATGTAAAAAAAAAGCAAGAATAAAGATTACTTACCGAACATAGCTACGCTTATCATCTACCTCAATGGCATCTTCTGTAATTACTTTCAGTTCTTCTAGAGAATAAGGATGTTCAGGATCTTTAATGTCTCTTATATGGTGTAGGAACTCTTACGCTAAGGAGGACAGAGGATATTCAATATTGTATATTATGTAAATAGTACTAATACAAATGATATTCATGAAAGAAATTAAATTAAGTTGAAGAAGGATATCAAATATTTCTAGTTGGTCAATGAGTTCAGTTGCATATTCATCAAAATCGCCATCACCAGGTCTACTTCGAACAGGGCGTTCCTTCTTTTCATATACAACTGGATTTGCATTGATTAAGGCCGGTGCCATTTTCTGCGTGAGTTACATGTTTGTGATCGGAAGTTACAATAATTCAAGTTTGAGGAAGCACATATAAATTAGAACACTCAGAAAAAAACGAAAACATGTTCACAAATTGGAACAACAACAGATAAAGCAAAAGTTAACGAGCACCTAATTTAGGTGTCATTTTTATTAGGGCTTTGTGAATTGAGTATATATTACATTTTGATTTATTTTTCTTATTACAACTAACAGTTTTATATTTGGACTTATTAATCAGCCAACATGAACCATTTTTGTAACCCTTAAAAACATGAACAACAAACACATCAGATATCATATATCAACAGCAAATCAGAAGTAGCAAACAAGTAGCTGTGGCTATCGAAGGCAGTTTAAAAAAAAGAAATCGACTAACATCGATTGATAATAACACCAACATCAATTGATAACCATGAATTTGGTATCACTTTATATCAAGATTGGCGATTTAAAAAGAAAGCAGAAAAAAGGAAGAAAGAAAGCAGGAAAAAAAAGGAAGAAAGAATGGAACCTAAGGTGGGTTGCGACAGTGTAGCTCTGGCTATCGAAGGTCTCCGGCCGGTGGCTCCGTCGGTTGAACAACGGTCGTCGAAAATCCTTCACGGCGTTGGCGACCAGAAACCAAAGGCCTAAATCGTAGCGTTTTGACCGATTAAATTGGAAAATTTTCCAATAAAGTCATGAAGTTTGGTTCTATCAACGTAAAAGTCTTTTATTTTATTTTTTTTTCAATTTAGCCCAAAAAAAAAAAATATTTGCAAAATAAACCATTTTCCCGGTTAATGTCGATTTTTAGGGGTTTTCTGAAAATTTTAAGGATTTTTCTGAAAATAAACAATCATAGATGATTTTTTCATTAATAGGGTTAAAGTTTAAGATTTTTTTTTTGAAAAATTTTCTCTTTATATTTACTAAACTGATGAAAAAAACTCATATAGATGGTATCTTAATGATTGTAGTTATCATATATAATTTAAGAGGACTTTACTGATTTGTCGTATGAAGCGTGTTTTTAGACCACATGCTACCTTCATTGTTGCATATTCAGGTCTTGGTGTAAAAAATAAGTGACTTAGGTGTAAAAATGGCAATGGGAGAAATTTCTACTTTTTTAGAATTGATCAAATTAAATTTAAGTTGTTCGTATTTAAGTTGTTCTAAAACAAACAACTTAAATGCCAACATGGTTAAATAGTTACAAAGAAAGTTATAGAAGCTACAATACTTACAAAACGCATGTTAATCACTGGCTGAACTAATATATTGGTAGGGGTAACTTGTGCTACCATCATTTTCTTCCCATAAGTATTACAAATATTTGACTTTTAGTCGGCCATGTGCCACACACAATTCAATAAGGTTTACGATTATAACTTTAAATTAAAAAATGCGCAAGTTACAACTAATTATATATCTATATAAAAAAATTTCAATTATTTTAAGACAAAATTTCACAAACGACAATGTTTTTGAAAATAGCATTTTCAGGACTTTTTTAAAAAACATTACACTGAAAGTTCTTATGGTTTCAAAATCAAACACAGATAATCTTTTTATCTAACTCCGTTAAAAATAAAGATTAAGTATATATAAATTGCCTATTTGCCCCTCTTTATTTCTTTTGTCTTTTTTAACAAGGTCCCCACATATTTCCTCTCTCTTCTTTCTTATCTCTTCTCTTTCTCTACCGCATACTCATCCTAAACCACTCTCACATCTTCTTTCTTAAATCAATTTCTCTCTCTCTCTCTCTCTCTCTCTCTCTCAAGAGAACACTTTTATCGCCGAAAAATACAACCACCATCACACCTTATGATTGATTGAAGCTTCGATTCCCATTAGGCCATGAAATGGCCCCGCATACTCGGCAGACTTGGGCTTTTTCGTTTTGGGCTTCGGTTTGGGCTTGGTTGTATTGGGCCATGTTGGGCCATCTGGATTTTTATAGTTGGGCTGTTATGACTTGTTGGACTTTCTTGGGTAAAGGCCCACGAAAGGAATTGGGCCCAATTTGGAAAATTGGACCATATTTGGGCCTTAGATGTTTATTTTGGATTTTGGGCATTTGGTCATCTAGTTTGGGCCTTGGCTTTGGGCCAAGCTTGAGAAGGGTAAAAATGTCTTTTACCTTAATTTGGACTCATAGTGTGAGTCGGGGGCTAGATGTTGACGGGTTGTCATTGTGGTATTTGATAGCGCGTGGATTTTAGCGGATTTGCAGTCAGAGATTATTCGTGGGATCAACTGTTGATGGGGTGTTGTTTTGATATTGGCAGTTCGGGGATCGGTCAGCCAGCAGCCAGGGATCGTCTATGTAATTTGGCAGTGCAAGATGAGTTGTCCTCATTGTACTTGCGGTTCGAAGGCACTAATGTCGGCCTATTGGATTGATATCCTGTTATGCATGTTGCTATGCTGTCATGATCTGTTAGATCGGTATCCTGGTAGATAGAATGTTGTTATGATTAGTGATCTGTGATCTGTTTGTCTGGTTGTAGACTGTCATATGATTATCTGTTATATGTGTACATGTTTGGTCGGTGGCTGAGGCTTCACCGCTCTGTACGTAAGCCAACAGGCCGGGGCATTCCAACCCGATGGTTGAATGGGCCCGAGGGTATTCCAACCCGATGGTTGACTTGACCTATAGTATGTTGGCATTCCAACCCGATGGTTGAGGGCATGGGGTATTCCAACCCCATGGTTGACTGGACCCATAATATGTTGGCATTCCAACCCGATGGTTGAGGGCCTGGGGTATTCCAACCCGATCGTTGAATGGACCCATAGTATGTTGGCATTCCAACCCGATGGTTGAGGGTCTGGGGTATTCCAACCTGATGGTTGACTGGACCCATAGTATGTTGGCATTCCAACCCAATGGTTGAGGGCTTGGGGTATTCCAACCCAGTGGTTGATTGGACCCATAGTATGTTGTTTGTGATATGTGTTATTTGTTGTGTGTTGGTAATTTGGGGGAACTCACTAAGCTTTGTGATTATAGTTTTGTTTATGGTTTCAGGTTATTCAGATGATTCGTGGCAAGA